TGACTGGCAGTATTTTTATTTAATTAAAAAAAAAAAAAAAAGTGGAAAGATTTGTCAGCGTGAAGGTGCCGTAGTAACTTTTTCAAATATACACCAAGCGTTTATTCTGCTACGGTAACGTTTTGGAGCATGCTGTGATGCTAAGGTTGAATTCATGTGCAGCTGAGGGTTTATGCCATTGTGTGTTTATCCAGAATATTGTTTATTTGCCCATTACAATGCAAGCATTTGTTTTTTTAGCAGCTTGTGCAGAGAAAAACAGTAGTGTCAGGGAGGTTTTGTCTTCTTGTTATGCCAGTGTCTTCAGAGTGACTGAAATGCACTTGCGGGAGATAAATCAGCAATGGCTCTGCGAAGATCTATGGTAGCTTATTTAAGATCCATGTTCGACACAGCAGAAGGGTCTCAGGGGTAGGACATCCTGGCCCCACTGTGTGCAGCAGCACAACTTCCACCAACTCTAACAGAGCCAAGAAGTGGGATCGGCAGATTGTTCAAATGAAAAATAGGGTAAACCACAAACCTCAGAAACATGTATTTCTCTTCTGCATCCATTCTGCTATATTTTGAAGCACACTTTGTAGCTGTACACTACCATTGAAAGAGACTCCTTTCCTATCTTGAGTCTGGGACCTGTAACTTTTCCTTACGTACATGTTATGAAACGTGTTTTCTCCTTAGTAGAAGACAGACAAAGATGAGCATAATGCCAGAGGAGAGGAGAATTGTTTCAATAATACAAGGAATAAATGGATAATCCAAATTGGGATGACAGGTCATGCTCTCACAGATTCTCCAAATGGGAGTTTCTCCAGCATGCTAATTCTGCCAGCCATTTCACAAGACAGACTCTCATGACTTGCTCAGGCTTCCACACCTTGTTTCTCAAAATATCAGTTTGTGAAGACAGCCGTAACCATCTCCAGCCATTTCAATCATCCAGAAGATCACAGCTGAGCACCTGGAAGAAATAAACATTCCAGAAGGTTAATCCTTGCATCTTTTTAGTTTGCAGTCTGCCATCACTGCCATGCAACTGGCAGGAAATGGCTGGTTCCTTGGCAGGTCAAATTTAAACCAGTCAAGGATGTTGCTTAAGTAGGACTTTGGAACTGAGTAGGGTTTTTATTAACTTTGTTATGTTAAGAAATGGCTTTAGTTACAAAAACTATCAGATATCCTTGTGGAAGAAAAGGTGCAGATAGGGCTGTATCTTTTATTTAAATGTCAATCCACTTTCAGCTATTCCCAAAAGAAGCTAGAGAGAAGGACACCAAATGCAGTGTAACACAGGTTTGATGGAACCAGATTTTTGTTGAAAATTGACTGATAAAATTCAGTTTTATTTTGTTCACCAAAACCAGTCAATTCCACTGGTCAAGTTCATCTTTTTCTTCTGCCTCCCTTCCCATCCCTCAGACCTCTCCACCTTCACCTCCATCTCCAGAAATCCGCTTGCACTCTCTGTTTCCCCAGATCTGAGTGCTGTCTCCATCCCTGCATGAAGTTTTGCCACTCCAGTCTTTCTTTCAAGGCCCTCCATTTCCCAGGTCCGTGGCAGGTTAGGAAGGCTTGGAATTATTAGAAAGTGTCTACAAGAGTCTTGGTGCAGAGGCCAACCTGAAGAAAGGCATGCAATCAAGATTTTTGATTTCTAGGAGAAGTTAACCAGTAATACAGTTTCCTGGTCTCCCCTTTTGGCTTACGTGACAGGTTTATGTTGCATCATGTGTCATGAGTATGGGTAAAATATATCTTCTTTCCAAGAGATAGGCATCTGTGCTCTGGAGCAGTTTCTTTTAAATTTAAAAGGTCGATAAAGAAATGATTGCTTGAATATGTGTCAAAAGTGATGTTGCTGGAGTAACTTCTATTCCCAGGTTAAAATCGTTGCCTCTCTTGCCTGTCCTGTTACTTAGTTCAATTATTTTTACAAAATATCACAGGCTCTCATTTAATATATACGGCTGTTTCATAATGAGAATGGCCATGGTTTTGTAATCTCTGTAACTGACCCGCATTAAAGTTATGTCTAATTCACTCTATAAGGCCACATATAACTGCACCTTCTCGAACCTCTCTTCTGCTTTTTCTGTGAGTAAACTCTGCTTGCTATGTTCATGTATTAAGCCTGTTGGCTTAATACGGTTTTTTGCTAAAGAACTTTCCTTTAGCATGACTAGTCTCTGCATCTTTGATGCCATTGAGAGCACCGAGTAATATTTGCACGGTTCCCTGCAATTACGGTTAGAGAAACTTCACCAAAATGAGTTGATGTGCATCCAGGTGCAAACAAGTCTAAGAAACTGAGACCAGAAGATAGCATGTTGAAGTCTGCACAAACTACTTTTTTTTCCTTCTTTTTTTTTTTTTTTCCCCAGAAAATAATTTTATGAGACATAAGAGACCTAGCAAAATCCCACTTAAAAAAAGGCAAAATTTCCACGGGTATTCTAAAAAGCCAAGATTTTTTCCCCCGTATTTGCTCCTGGGGAATATTGTTAGGCTATTTTCTATGGAACATGGACAGATTTTTTTTAGCAAACCAGATTGGTATTTCCTAAATTATTTGCAGGTCCTTACACTTTTTATAGAGATGTTGGATTTTATGAGTGAGCAAATATTTCAGGAAAATATTGCAAGCAGATCAATCCATCTTGGAGCTCCCAGAAGTGTGTGGTGAATGCAAGCAGTGTGGTGAGATGAAGTATCTAACACGAGCATCTTATTGTACGTGGCTCTCCTGGCAGGTATTGGGGGAGAAGGCATCTTAGCTCTATCTTCTACATTCTCCTTTGTACGACTTAATGTCACAAAGGCATTAGGAAGAGTCCAGGACCATGACTGCCCTGAGCCCTTGCGGCTCCATTTCCCCTGCTCCATGGCAAATGAAGAAGGGAGCAGGGACAAGCTGGGTCTTGCTCTGCGATGTGGTCTTCATGCATGTACTGGTGTAAATGCCCCTGGCTTTGCATAACCCCCCCCGCAAATGCTCCCAAGCAAGGTATTATGATAAGATCTAGCCAGTTCTTTATTAGAGGAGGGTCAGCATGGGCCAAAAGCATTAAGTGACTCTGCTGTAAATAACCACACTCCCAAAAATCAGCTGCTTAGAAATTGCTGTAAAATCTCCATAATCTAGGCACAACCTATAATACAGTGGTAAAGCCTAGTAAAATACATTTACAGCCAAAATACATCTTGGTTGGCAGTTTCATTGTACAATGGTGATAAGGAACAGTCAGCTGTTTTAAATTCATCAACCTGTAGCTCCTTTGGTCTTCCACTTACCTGCTGCCTCTTACCTAGAGAGAGACTTTTATGGAGCTCCACACCCAGCTGGGAAGACTGGGCAATTGCAGTAGGTATCTACAAACCTTATCGTAAAGCTTCTGCAAGGAGAGGAGCTGGGTGATGCTCTCAAAGTATTCTGAGGCACCAGGCACTAGCACTCTTTGTAGGCAGATGATTTTTAGGGATTATTCAAAATAAGCTGAATTCTGAACCACTCTGAGCTATTTGATAAATTTGCAAAGAATAAAAGCTGTTTCATCAGTGATGTAGGGAGTCTGGCTTGGATTACATGCCCTTACAAACTGGTGCAAATGCACATGAGTCCCTTTTGTCAGACCCTTCATAAGAGGCAGAGAATTAGCAGGGACCCACCCATCCCGCAGCAATACCTGGTACCATGGGTGAGCTAATACAGATGTGGTGCCTATTTGTGGCTGGTACTTTCAGCACAGCATCATGACTTCTCTCCCCCCAACACACTGGTTGCACGAGAGGTGGGGCGAAGCAGTCCATTGCAGGGCTGAGTAGCGTGTGTCACAACTCCTCCTGCACGGCTTGAGGAGGAGATGGGCGAGAAGGCCCTCAGCCACCGCGTCCCATCAGGGTCACACCCTGGGCTGCTCCTACCTCCAAAGCAACTGGAGCCTCAGGTTGGCACGTGCAGGTCACCAGAGAAAGGGGCAGGGTGGGCACATCAACCAGTCTAACCACCTCCTGCTGACAGAGAGCTACTGGTAATAGTAGCAGTTACAGAAGTGATGAATTTTTAGAAAAGCTTTTGGTAAGGTTTTTTCCATGTAATTTCCATGTAAGCACATTGTGAATCTGGTTACCATAAGACTCCTACAGAACGCTCTGGAAAACAGGGTATTTTTAATGGCTGTCACATTGGATAAACACATCAAGTAGGATCCTGCAAAAATCCAGTTTGGGACCTGATAAATGTCCAGTATTTTAATGAAGGACTTGAATGACAGAATAGAGCGTATACCACCTCACATAAAAAAAACCGCAAACAGATCAAAGTGAGAGGAATGGTGAGCACTTTGGAGGACAGGAATCAAGTGAAAAATGGGCATGAACAACCGGAAAAAGGATCAAAAATTAAAAATATTAAACTCAGTGATGAGAAGTGCAAAGGGTTGTATTGAAAAAGGAGAGATCAAGTGCCAGAGCATGAGATGAAAAGCAACCGATTGCAGAGCACATCCACAGGAGAAAGCTTTCACCTCCGCTCTTTTTGCAGGAGGGCTCAGGTGTGATCTCAGTCCCCCGCTGAGCAGTGGCACGTACTGATTTAAATGGCTGCAAAAATCTTCCTCAATCCACTATGTATTAAAACTGAACAGGAGTCAAGAACTTGGCACTACTAAAAAGAAATTAAACTCTTCTCTATTGTAAGGAGTATTTAAGGCAAGAAATGAGAAGTAGTATTCCTCATCTGTTTGACCACATGAAGTTCTGAGCCCAATTCTAAGCATTTACTTATTCACAGGCAATATAAAAGTAAAGAAGAACAATTTAAATAAAAGGCATCAGCATAGCAGTTTTTTAGAATATCCAGCTGAGATGGTTGGAGTGTTTTGGATTTTGCTTTGGGCCAAAGAGGAGCCCAAGGGCCTTCCTGGAACTGTGCTTTTATGCTTCTACGGTAAAACCATCAAGAAAACCATGCAGGGCATTGAGGGGAGTAAAAAGATTAAGTGTGGTTAATGTTTTGATAGACAGTAATGAACTTTAGCAAGATCTGAAACCAAAAAGTATTAACCTGCCCTCACAAGCTCAGTAAAGAGGCATAACTAATGTTTTACAGCTCACAAAAAAATGTTAGTCCAGATACCTTCCGTACTAAGGCAAGAGTCAGTGATATCCATTACTCATCAGAACATCAACACACCCTTCAAATGTAGTATTTCATACTATCAAAACCAAGAGCTGAGACTGAAATCTGGGAGTTGCTGGTTCCCTTCTCATGCATAATACAGCAGAATTGTTTTCTTTGGTCATCAAACACTTCTCTTTTAAAGTATTTTGATCAGTGGAAATTTAGTTAAGCAACTGAAATATGTACATTTTAGAAGGGACTTGGAATATTTGTCTTGTTCATGCCAGTTTTAGTTAATGTAATTCTATATAAGTAAGTGGTGGTTAATTTTTGCTTTGTTTTTGTTGTCCTAATTTCAAATAGTTTGTCATTTTTGCTGGTTAAAAAATAAGTCAGCTCCTTTTGCAAGTTGAGCATTATCATCCTGCCTCCTTATTTTTCTTTTTAATGAAGGAGTGGAAAAAAAACAGAAAGAATATGAGAAAATTGGGGAAAAGCTTTTATTAACTGTTTTCCCATATGTGCATTTGCACTTGATGTGGTTTAGTTCTGAGTTTATAACAGTAAAACCCTTGAAGAGGAGATAAAGATTTTTCCAGATGATCCAGGGTTAGGTCACTGGTTCCATATCTGGGGAAAAGTCTAATTTTTTATTTTTTTTTTTCTGTTAAATACATAGCAATTCTTTGGGAACTAGTGGGTGGTCAGCACTTGAAGTTCCAAAAACCCATATACACAAGAAAAAAAATAAACTTTGTGTGTCTTTGTTGGCAAAAAAAGAAACCAATGGGGTTTACCTTATTGCATGTTTTTTAAAGTAAGAGAGCAGTGGGGTATTGGCCCTGTAAATTAAAGAAAAGAAAAAGGCGTTTCCATGAAAAATTCCTGAGCCTCAAGGCTCTTTCTTATGTGTATTTTTTGTATTTTCCTAGATCATGGTGACTGCCATCATCCTCTTATTCCATTAGTTGCATCCCATTCATTGATCCTTTTCTGAACTGTCAAGAGAGGTTCTTGCAGAGTGATTCAAAATGCCGTGTTCCCAAAGACTACTCATTATCTCAGAAGGATTTTTAGTCAGAAGAATTAGAACAGACTCTGGTAGAATTAGGCCTACAGTTGCTTTTCAGGATTAGCTGTAATTTTTCAGTAAATACATTATTTTAGTGTGCACAGGATGAATGGCCAACAAATCTGATTTGTGAACTTCTGTTTCAGATTATTAGGAAAGCTCTAACAGAGGAAAAACAAGTGTCCACAAAGACATCTGCAGCAGATCTAGTGACAGAAACCGATCATTTTGTGGAAAATTTAATTATTTCTGTTCTGAAAGAGAAGTTTCCCTCCCACAGGTGAGTGCCTGTAGAAAGAAACTACTAATGACCTTTTTTTCTTTAAGAGCTGTATCTCTGACTGGCATTTAAAGGTAATTTTAAAAATCTATCTCTCTCTCTTACATATTAACCTATTGCTGTTGGACACTTTCATAGGACTCCTTTTTAAAAAAGTACCACTTCCCTATATTTACTACTTTATATTTTCTAGTAGTTGTGGTTTTTAATATATGTATTTAATAGTAATGTTTCCCCTGTAGAGACATCATGTATGAAGGTTTCATATGAATCTCTATGTTTTTTCAAAATACTGATCTGCTTTCTACTGTATAAGAGTTATGCTAAGGATATCTATTAATATATAGCTAAAATTAATGACAGCAAAGGTCCCATCCTGCAGACTTTCACTTCACTTTATTTTGCCGTCACACATAAGTGTTTGCCAGATCAGGACATGTCTCGTACTTAATCACGTTTACCTTGTGTTGTGTAGAATCCTAAGATCAGTGAGAAGCAGGGTTATTTATCATCATTTGGTGGGATAGAAATTACTATATGGGGTGTCAGCCCAAGGTTTTAAAAATAGATCAGATTGTTAACTCCCCTTGAATTAGTATAGTCAATTTGAAAACAACAACTCCTAGCACATGCACAGATTAGAGAGAGGGTTTGTATTAGCTGGCCGGGTTTGGTTTAATGCAGAGACTCTGCAATAGATTTCCACATTTGGCTTCAGTCCAGAAAGATAAAATTCATGTTCCTGTGAAGCCAGTGTAGAGCCTGGGTATCCCTTAAATACTGTATGACTTCCTTCTAACTGTGCATCTCTGATGGAGATGAGCCTTGCTCTTGAGTGCTGCGCAGAAATCAATAAAGATGAAAATCTGGAAGGGTCAGCTAGTAATCTGATTGTCGGCAATGCTGCTGGAAAAAAAAAAACACCATAAGAAGGAGTAGAAGGAACATTATATACTAAATATGGCTTTCTAAATACGTGTTGTATGTGATCACATATTGAAGCAGTACTGTACAGCATAATGTGTGGTTGTTGGCCGTGATTCTCAAGAGAGTGCCAGGCTTTACAAGCCTATTATTTGTGTAATATTCCTTCTACCATTGCTGGCTCTGCTCTTTTCTCATCTCCGCTCTTCTGTTGTTTTTTTTTTTTTCCTCGAACAGCCTGGGAGAGAACATAAAACATACACATATCACATACAATTGAGAATCATCAGAAGCACTCAAGTTACTCAGAATAGGAACAAAGTTGTAAGGTCAACATAGACCCAGGAACTGAAAAATCTTTGACTTTATTAACTCTGTACAGTTAATTTCTGACGTTATAAGCAAATGAAGGAATTGCTGTTTCTTCAAGACAATTTTTTTTTGCTTATATTGGTTGTTGGTTTTGGTTGGAGTTTGTTCAAACGGTGAACGCATTTAGATTAAACAATAGATTAAAACTAGATTTAACTAGACTAGATTAAAACACTTGCAATGAGGAGTCCGCAGTAACAATCAAGGTTTAAATTAAAGTGCAATGAGAACATTAAAAGATCATTTAAATTGTGTTCAGTCTTTCCCCTAATCTGGCTGTTGAAAGCATCACTGAAGATTTATGTTATTTTTTTTTCTTAAATCATCTTAAGTTCTCTGAATCAAAAAATGTACCTTAGGAGTTAGAAAAATTAAAAGGGATCTTATTAGAATCTGTGCCATTTGCACTGTGGCAGTGATGAGTCTTGACATATTGGAAATTGTACTCAGAAGTAATGAGAAATATTAGGAAAACCTGTTAAAAAGGTAATTTTGTCCCATGTTTGTTTCTTCTTCTCTCTGCTTGGCTAAGTGATATGTATCATCCTCATTCATTCTTCACACAAGTTTTCCTCTTTGCCCCCTCTTTGGTATTCTGACATGCTCCAAGTGAGTCTTTTCAAAAGGATATTTTTTCTAGTAGATCTTTTGAGTTGTGAGTAGGCACAGCCAGAATGTCAGGGGCTACTGGTTGAAAAAGGCTATCGTACCGTTTGCCTGTGTTATTGTTACACAAGTTGTCATCTTTGGTGTTAATTGTGGCCTTGATCCTGTGGACATTGAAATCAGGACACAGCCATTACAGAGAGTGACACCCAACTCTAGCTGCCCAGCTTTCTGTCTTCAGACCCCCATAAGGGGGTAGGTGAGGGATAGCCCCAGTTTGAGCCTCCTACACTCAACGGGGTGTCACTCCTGCTGCGGTTTATGCTGTGCTACAGTTTCCCTGCTGTTCCAGCAATGAATTTCAGAGTGGCACTGTGGTATGAACAGATGTCCACTAAGGCTCGGCTAAAATTACTAGACTCATTTTCAGCGGGAGAAAACTTTAATCCAGATTTGAAGAGACATCAATAGAGCTGGCAGGCTGGCATATTAAATTAACTACTTTAATAACATGGCTACCCCTCCCGCTTCTCAAGCTGTTCCCAAAATTTGGTCTCCAGTACTTCAGGCTGAATGTTTTGCTTAGTTTGCATGGTTTTACTCTCAAAGGACGGAGAGCCAGAGGATAACATATCTGATGTTGGCCTTGAGGGCCTCTCACAGTACCCAGTAAGCAAGGGGCTTATTTTAACATATTAGCCCAAGTTTCATAAAACGTGCACCTAAGTGGTCCTACATTTTGGAAAAATTGTTCTTGGACACCAAGACTTTGGCAATGGCGCTGCTGTGCCCTGGCTTCACATTAGCATTTCTGTATATGAGGACTGCAGCGTCGCACCCTGCTGTAAGGAAAAGGCAAGGGAAAGACTTACAATACTTGAGGGCAAAACACCTTACACAGAAATACTCTTATCTTTAAAGGGGAGCTAGCAGAGGGTTGAAGCAGAGGCATAATTTATGGGGAAGACGGACAACCTGAGATGGGATGTAAGGTGCAAGAAGATGAGCTTCCTCTGCAGCCATCAGTGCAGTGGAAGCGTATGGTTGGGTTTAGTTGCTAATTACAAGATTTGTAAATGCAAAAGTCAAATGGTACAGCACCAAAAAGACCAAATAATGGAATATTTAGAGCAAGGAGTCTGCAAAGTGTTATGTTTGACAAGAATTCCAAATACTTGTTCAAGCCTTACTCATTTCTCAGTTGCACACTAATACTTCATCCTTCAGGTGTTACCTTTAATGGAGATGAAAACAGTAACAAACACTTCCTACTTCCCTCTTTATACCAACTGGGGGCCCATAATGCCATGAAAATAGTCCCTTTCTACTGAGGGAAAGGCAAAGTAGCATTTGGAAGAATCAAGAAACCTCCTCCAGTGCTGTGTGCAGAACATTTTAAGCTCATGGTTGCAAGTTTTATGTGGCATTGTGGGGCGTGTGTTGAGGGCACAAAAGAAAATACCTGCTACTCTAGTCCTGGGGAAGCAGCTGTTTCTGCAAAAGACTTTTTCTCTTTATTTTATCCATTTTTGTCTCTTTGTGTCTTTGAGAAAAGCTTTTTTGTCTTCAAGCATTTGCAGGAGCTCTGAATACCCCTGCCAGTTGTTCAAATGTGAAACCAAAAGCAAGATTCAGTACTAGCAGTCTTCATTCTACACCTTCTGTACATACAGGACTTTATTCAAATCTGTGAGAGTAACACCTGCACAACACTTACAGAAACAGACCCTGAGCAGTTTATGGGAGAGCAGGATAATGTTTGTTTCCCAGGGAAAAAGGAGGAGAAAAAAAGGCATATCTACTAAAAGAAATTGGGACAGAACAAGAGAACAGAAGATGAGCTCAGATTTCAATGTGTGCCTTGTGCATCCAAACAACAAACAAAAAAAAAATTAATTTGTTGATTTTCTCTGGGTCATGGGAAAAAGAAAGTTCAGCTTTGTAAATCTTTTAATTTCCTGAGTCAGACTACTGTAAAAAATTCAAGTAGGAGTGAGATTGTGGGTTTTCTAAGAGTGCATTATTTCCTGCT